CAGCTTCACTCCCAGGAGTGTATATGCCACCTACACCGTTGAGTCCTGGTCCCACGAACCCAAGACAGGTGTCAGTGTGTGCAGCATCTGGGTTGGGGATTCCATTCCCCCCAGCTATATGAGCTGAGAAGGGTCAGGGGGTCTTTACACCAGGAAAAAGGGCACCAGGCAAGCAAACCCAAAGAATGTTCTACAGGTTATTTTACGAGCTCACGTGTGAACACCGAGGCGGAAAGTGTTGTTATTTCCCTGCTCTAGAGATAGGAGACTCAAGTGCAAAAGATGGTGATAACCGCACAGAAGGTTCTGGTAGGGGTCGAGGCACCACAGAGATAAGGCGCCTGGCACAAGCACAGGCCCAGTAAAGCTGATGATCTCGGGTCTTTTATCATTAGGCCAAGACCTCTGATCTGGGTTCCCGGTTTCTTGGAAATGAGCAGACGGGCCTCCTAACCAGAACCGTGGAGAAGGGAACCTACAAACCCTGGCTTCTCGGCAGCTCCTTCTGGGCCAGCTGGGATGCTCGGGGGGGGGGGGGTCAGCGGGTCCCTGGTCTTCAGGGGCTCCAGCCAGACCCACCCACCCCAGGGAATCCAGCGGGAAGCCCGCCGGGCCCAGGGGAGGCAGGCGGGAGGGTTAAGTGTCCACCATTGTCTGTCTTCTCCTCCCTGGGCCAGCTGCCCCCCCCACCCCGTTCTTGGCAGCTGTTCCCCAGAGGTTCATCTGGTGCTAAAAATAGGCTGTGCTTAGACACCCTGAGGCTCCAGCTGGAAACATGAACAGCAGTAACCAAGTGCTGCTGCTTACCCTGTCCCCCTACACAAAGGCCTGCTCTCCAGGAGGCTGAGGAAGGCGCAGCTGGTCAACAGCAGGGGAAACTGAGGCTCGAGAGGAGCCTCACGTGAAGGAAGCGGGGCTAAGCTTGAGAGCCAGCCTCCACGGGTACCCACTCCAGTCCTCCCCTTAAGCAGCAAGAGGGGAGGCTGTCGGTGCATGTGGTTTCCAGCGCGCAGCTACTCATGGAGCGAGGCCTGAAGGACCATATCCCCACCTGGCCAGGGCTGTCCACACACCATCTGTGGACTGGGGCGGGGGGACAGAGGAGGGACCCTAGAAACATCACCTCTGCCCTCCAGGTTGCCAGGAGGGAGGACTTTGTGAAAATGTATTTGCAAAACTTTTAAGCCCCGTGCCTGGGAGACAGTAGGTGCTCCCCCGTGGTGGGTGGTTTTACTTCTCCGTTCCCTTGGGGGTAGAATATCTGTCTGGGGGGCCGGGGGAGGAAGGAAGAATGATGGATGGACATGAGGGACGTACATGTCTTTGGGGTTCCCTTGGGGAGGTGGCCCCTGAACTGCAGGGTCACCCACAGCAGCGAAATGCAGGCCTCTAAGTGACGCTCTCCGAGGCGTAGCGGGGTGCTGTGGCAGATGGCGCAGAACCGGGGTGTCGGCTTAACCGCAGGGGGAGGCAGTCCCCTGCACCCTTTCCACTCACCTCCCCCGTGTTTCTTGGACACATCTTGCCCACAGATGCTGGGGCTAGTGTGGGGCTCAGAAACCAGGTGTCCCCCCAAGGTGAGCCCCTGACGCTGCCCCCCAAGCACGGCAGGATGGTGTAGAAGGCTCGAGTCAGAAGGAGCCCCCCCCCACCCCTCAGTGTCTTCCCAGGGGCCCCCCTTTACTCCCCACACCACCAAAGCCTCCATATCTTTCTGTTTCCTGCCAGTTTTTAATGAGCTCATTATCCTCTTAAAACCCATTTGGCACCCACTTAGAGAAAAGATGTGTTGAAATATAAAAGAACGAGAAGGGAACAACAAAAAAGGACCAGACCTAGAAATATCCTCAGAGAGACAAGAAGCCACAGGGAGCGTAGTGCTGAGATCTCCGCCGTGTCCAGGCAGCAAAGGTGCCTGGAGGTCCATGTGGACGGTCCATGTGCCAGCAGGGCAGGTTTCTCAAGACCGACTATGTGCCAGATGCTTTTCCTGCAAACCTCCGCAGTATATCTTTTGGGGTGCCACACATATGCCCAGTTTATAGGTAGGGGGCCTCCTTGTTGAGAAGCAGGGCTTGCCCGTCATGGGGCTGGTTTTTGGGGCACTGGCTGTGCGGTCTCGCCTGCACACCTCTGGAAGGGCTGCTGCCCCTGGGCATCCCATGACGGTTGCTGGTCTTTTCTCATGCTCACCCAGCTGCAGAAACATCTGGCATGTGTGTGATCTACAGAGAATTCTATGGATTCCCGGGGTGCACAGCCCATGCCCAGAGTTTTTCAAGCTTACAGGAGTGTCAGTGTGGCCGTGAACACTGAGTGGGTCCCCAAATACTTTTGGGGGACACAGTCCAGACTCCTGAGCCTGGTGCTCAAGGCTCCACATGGGCTGGATCCTCACCACGCGTCCTTGCCACGCGCTGCCTGCACAGGGACTTGTTCCTCGTGAGGGTTCTTCCTCTTCCTGGGGTGTCCCTTCACCCAGAAAACTGAGCAGCACAAAGACCCCTCCCAGAGGAAGGGCTCCTAAGGTTCACCTCCCCGTCTCCTAGGGTTCACCTCCCCATCCCCAATGTGGGTTCAGACCCTCACTTCCCTGAGCTCCCACATCCCAGGGTTTCTCACTCTGGGGTCATAAACCCCCAGAGACTAAAGCCAAAATCTGGGGGCTTCTGTGCACAGCGTCTTTTCTGGGCACATGGCTGTAGTTTCATCAGATTCCCGAAGGACAGCTGTGTGGTGAGAAACACAAACTGTGAGGCCAGGTGTCTTCAGTTCACAGTCCAGCCCTGCTGAGCTGCTGTGTGACCCTGGACAAGTTACTTCACATCTCTGAGCCTCATTCATCTCTTCGTAAAACATAGCTCTCCCTCATTGAATAGTTTTAAGAACTGAATCAGAGCGTGTGTATGCTTGGAGCAGTATCTGACACGTGATAAGTTCATTAAACATTAGTTATTCATATTAATTGCTTTTTTACATTTTTCATACAGATTCTTATCATTCTAATTCAGTGGTTTCGTGTAGGCATATTTACTTATTTATTTTATAAGATTTATTTATTTATGCATACAAGAGCTGGCATATAGGCCAGAGTGTGTGAGAGGATTCACCAGAGAGAGTGGGGAGCAGAAGAGGCGGATCCGCTGAAATACACTGCTGAGGGGAGCAGAGGGTGAGACAGGAGAGGTCTGCTGTGCCATGTGGGTCACTCCCTGGCAGGGGATTGAACTTGTGCTGCAGTGGCTGTGGACAGCTTCACAATGCTGAGACTTAACTCCTTGTGCCACCAGGGAGGCCCTACAGTGATGGTTAAGCTGCAGTCTCCCTCAGTGGACTGAACCCTCTGAAAGGAGGGACTCTGAAGTACTTAACTCTGCAGCCCTTACACACAACACATGTTGTTAAGCGAACAGAGGAATGGGTGGATGAATGGTTAGGTAGAGAGTTGGATGAACGGGTTATTGCAATTCAGTGAAGGGAGAGATGGATGAGTGAATAGATAAATGGCATATGTGTAGTGGATTGATGGATGGATTAAAGAAGGTTTGATGCATGGGTGGGTAGATGGTGATTTAATGGATGGATGAGTAAGGGGACTGATGGATAGGGTAAAGAATGATGGATTGATGACGGAGTAGTGGATGAACGGATAACTCCACCTCACAAGATTATGGCTTCTTGACTGTTTACTCCTCTATTCCAAGTGCCTAGAACAATAACTATAGCACATAGTAGGTGCAAAATGTTTAGGTTTTTAATGAATGGGATGACGTATGGGGGACCCGAGGACCCCAAGTTGAACTCTCATGCTATTGTCTGGGTTTGGAGGGACGTCGCCCGTTGGCCAGCAATTTGAATCCCACGCATTGACCAAGATTGTCATGGGCCCCCCTGCTGGTGGTAATGTGAAATAGCAACTGCCTCACACTATTTTCTAGTTTACATTTGGGTTTCTTCTTGATTGATGATCTCAAATGTTGCTCAAAGGGCAGTGGTTCTCAATCCTGCGTGCTCATTACTATCATCTGAGGACACCTTCTACCTTTGATTTCCCCCTACAATCAGACATTCTGCTTGGAGAGGTCAGGAATCTTGATACTTAACCAGGCACTCCATGATTCTGAGTCAGATGCTCTCGGGTCATGCTCTGAGGAGGTGAGTCCCGCTGGTCCCCAGGACGCTGTGGAGATGGGCTGCAGCTTCGGGGGTTGTCTCTGAATTGAAACATCCAGGGCAATCGAAACATCCAGGACTCAAATCTCAACTCCACCATCTACAATTGTGTGAGTCTAATTTCCTCATCTGTGAATTGGGAAAATAGTGACCTCCTTCAAGAAGACTGGGCAGTATAAATGAGCAAAGATGGATAAAGGGCTTGGCACAAATCTGGGCATGCCATAGACGGTCAAGACTGAGGAAAGAGTATGTGACGAAGGGGTCCGGCTCCCCCCCCCCAACCCTTTTTTCTCCTCAGATAGGGGAGAGGGGTGTGGATTTGATCTCTCCTGCTAGGTTGGGAGCCCTGTGAGGGAAGAGATGCTCTCTTTGGTTCACAGCTTTATTTTCATCTCCTGGGATAGTCCCTGCTACGTGACAGTTGCACCTGGAGTATTTATTGGGGTCGGAGATGGGGGAAGAACACATTTGATCTGGTTAAGTATCAGCCAGATCCAGCAGGCAGTTCAGCAAGAACCTAACAAGTATTTTTGGTACCATGATGTCGTGTGTATTTGACAAATATATAGTGTATATGGGAAGCTTGTCCCCAAGTGAAAACCCAATAGAATTTAAATAGCCTGATCCCCGGTTTGGTTTAAAGAAAACGGCAAAGGAGTGTTCTAGAAGCCTCGGAGTAGCTTCTCTCCAGTGCCACTGGTTGCGCTGGCTGTTGGCTTCCTTCCCCGGTCCAGGTTCTGCATCCCTCCCTTAGGAAAGTTCAAGAACCCTTTGAGCCCTGGTCTCTGAGGAGGCTTCTCATGCCCATGTCTGCTGTTTTGCAGGTAACGGCCCCGGGGCCTAATGCTTGACCGGATGGAAACCCTGCAGCCTCTGTTTCTACTGGGTGGACACGCGGAGGTTGGTTTCCAGCTGTGGAAGAGATTAGAAGTGGAAATTGTGCAGCTGGATGGGCCCAGGAGCTGAGAAGAGCGAGAGGGAAGGAGGTTGCTGGACGCCTCCGATCACTGTTTTCCAGGTTCTGTGGGAACTCTCTGAGGCATCAAACAAGATGTAGGGGAATGGGACCATCTCTCGGGTATCTCAAGCCTCAAAACCACCTCCCAGCCCAAAGAAGCTCGCCTTGACCTTGGGAGGGCCGGTGAACCCTTGGCCCTTGCTCTTCGCCTCAGCCTTGTGCCAGGCTTACCTTCCTCTCCTGGACATGGTCATCACCTTCACAGAGGGAGTCTGCCTGGGGTTCCATTCCTAAGGGAAGCTTTGGAAATAAAGTCCCCCCCACATCTCATCCCTGACCGCCCCAGCGAGCCCCTGTGTGTCAGTCCGGAATGATCCTGCTATGGCCAAGCTCTGGTTCAAATTCCAGCGGTACTTCCGCCGGAGACCCGTGCGTTTCTTCACCTTCCTGGTACTCTACCTGACAGCCGGGAGCCTCGTCTTCCTTCACTCTGGCTTTGTGGGTCAGCCGGCCGTTTCGCAGAACCGGGTGGATCCCGCTGCCGGGGCCCCGGCTGAGGGCGCCGAGCTGCCCTTCTTGGGTGACCTGCATCTGGGAAGAGGTTTCCGGGACCCGGGTGAAGCCGCCAGCACCGCCCGCCGGTATGGACCCTGGTTCAAGGGCAAGGATGGGAACGAGAGGGCCAAGCTGGGAGACTACGGTGGAGCCTGGAGCCGAGCCCTCAAGGGGAGAGTCGTCAGGGAGAAGGAGGAGGGGCGAGGTAAGGGTGTTTGCCTTCTGGAAGGTGGTGGAGTCTCGGGAAGGGGTGCAGGAGGAGGGTAATAGCATCAAGCTGCGGGCGCGCAGTGTGCAGGGGCCAGGCACAGTGGGCTTCACTACGCTTCCATTTGCCAGGAGAAAATGAAAACTCAGAGAGGTTTAGCAGCTTGCCCAAGGTCACACAGCTTGTGAGCAGTCAGGCTTGGGTTTGAACCCCACCTCTATCAAGAGTTGAAAGTCAGACCCTCCCTGCAATCTTTTCCAACCCCCGCAAATACATGTGAAAATAAAAATAGCCAACATCTGTTAAGGGCTCTACAGGCATCGAATCATTCCCATACTCGTTGTGGTTAAGTGCTGCGATTCCCTCTTTAAAGATGAGGTGACTGTGGCACCAAGCCCCCGAGGTTACACAATGTGTGACAGAGCGTCAGCTCCACCTCAGTCCTCTCCGTGCCCAGCTGGATCCTTTGGTGATGGTGCCTGGGGGGCATCATTGCCTTGGGCATGTTCTGTTGCCTTTTTTTTTTTCCTTGCCTTTTATAATCAAAAAGAGCTTTTCTTCATGAGTGCACTATCTCATTGGATGTTCACTGGTCTTTGTGAACCAGAGCAGATCCTGTGTCCAGGTAACATGCGTGGAGGTAACATGTGAGGCTTAAAGAAGTGCAGACGCTGGCCCAGGGCCACAGAGCTGGTGCGCGCTGGGGTGGGAATCACATCTGTCTGACCTGAAAGCTTGGCTCCTTGCTGCCTCCAGTCTCTTGACATCTGCCGTCTGACCAAACTGCGGGGGACCCTGCGAATCTTGCAGTTTGTGAGAGTAAAACCAATGGGTGTTTCAGGAATCAGGCAGATGGTTTGGGAAGACCCACCACTGACCAGGGAAGGGGGAAACCTCCTGGGTCTCAGCATTCCTGGCCACAGGTCACTCCTCTGCTGTGATTTGTGGAAAGCCCCAGGACCCTATCCTGGAGCACACAACACCTGTTTTGGCTCAGAAACCATCCCAGAGACCCACCTCCCGACCCTCCGGAATTTCCTTGGATTACCCCTTCAAAAGCCCAGTGTCCCTAGGGAGGAAAAGGAGAAGGCAGCAGATGGAAGAAGAGAAAAGGTACTTGGATTTCTCAACTGCATCTCAACCAGTTGTGAGTCCCAGGGAAGTGGCTTCACTTTCTCAAGCTCTGTGAAATGGGAACAATCACTTGTGCCTTGTAGGCTTCTCTTGAGAGTTCAATGAGACAGTGGGTATGGAAACACCTAGAACAATGGCTGGGACATGTAGGTTCTTAGAGGGATCAGGAAATTCTCACAGATCTATGCAGGAAAGGGCCCTCTGGAGTCACAGGTGAGGTGTGAGGTGCAACTTTTGTCACAAGCCTGCACCTTGAGATACACTCCTAATGGTGTGTAGGATAGATTCCAGGGTCTCCACCGTGGCTCACCTCTCCAACCTCATCTTGTAACCCACTCTCTCCCCACCTCATTGGCTACTCACTGCCTCGCTGTCCTGCTCACTATTCATTGAACATGCCAACCCCGACCCAAACTTCAGCTCTTTCCTTAGGCAGCCTGCCATCTAGAATGCTGTAGCTCCAGATCTTTGCATGGCTCCCTTCCTGCTGGGCCCTTCCCCCCTTTCTGGTTACCTGTCAAGCCTCACCTTCCCATAGAGTCCTTACTGGACTATTCTAACTAAAGTGGCTTTTGACTCTGGTCACAATCACGTTTGCAAGTTTCATTTTTGACACAGCTCTTATCACCACCAGCGAGCATGTCGATGATGTGTCTGTGGCTTGTGTACTGTCTGCCTTTGCTCTACAGTTTCTGCTCCATGAAGGTGGCCTATGGCTTCTCCTGTTGGCCTGTGTCCTATCAGCACCAGGGACAGCACCGACCACAAAGATGGCGTTCAGTGCCGTCTTGTTGAATGTCTCCAATCTGGATGGACAGCTCAATAACACACCTCTGCCTCTGAGGTGTTTTATTAGGTCATTTATTAGGTATCAGGTCGTTTAATAGTTGCTGTTATTGATAACAACTGTAGTAATAGCTGCTATCCATTGAATTATCATGGGCTTAGATGGTAAGTGTTCCATTGCTTTATTTAATTATCACAATAACTCACAAAAGTAGAGATAGTTGCCATCCTGTGTCACAGATGGCAAAAGTTCAAGTGGTCAGATCCAAAGGCCACGTTAGTTAGAATAGTCCGATAAGGACTCCATGGGAAGGTGAGGCTTGACAGGTAACCAGAAAGGGGGGAAGGGCCCAGCAGGAAGGGAGCCATGCAAAGATCTGGAACAACAGCATTCTAGATGGAAGGGCTGCCTAAGGGAAGAGCTGAAGTATGGATCAGGGTTGGCGTGTTCAATGAAGAGCAAGAAGGACAGTGAGGCCATCTCTAGTTTTCCTCCAGATCTCTGCTTAGCTCATTTCCAGGAAATCGGCCCTGACCTCCCTCCAGACTTGGTAAAATGCTCCTCCTTGATCCTACCTGCCTGGCCCCTGAGTGAACTGTGTGGCCATGCTTGTCAAGGTTCCCTTGTAGAGTGTGATCTCACAGCACACTTGACACAATGACATTTGCTCTAGGAATGAACTTTCATTTATTCATCCTCAGTCTACCACTGCTAGTGTTTATTCCTTTTCCTTGGGCACCTGCTTCATGCCAGCCACTGACAATTGGCTATTTGTCTTATTTGAATGGAACAATACATGTCAAATGCTATCACATCTCCTACTTATAATTATAGGTCATTTAATAGTTGCTGTTATTAATAGCAATTGTAGTAATAGCTGATATCTATTGAATTATCTTTATGGGCTTAGACGATAAGTGTTCCATTGCTTTATTTAATTATCACAATAACTCACAAAATTAGAGACAGTTGCCATCCTTTGTCAAGATGGAAAAAATTAAAACCCAAACAGAAGTCACTTACCCCAGGTGGCAAGTGGAGAAACCGAGGTTAAAGCAAGGTCCGTTTAATTGCACGGCTTACAGATTCTGTGCCACACTGACCCCCTGGCCCTGGAAATCTTCTGTATGTCATAAAATATACAGAAAGAAGGAAATAGAAGATAAAAAAGATGCTCTGAGCCAGAGCTCTCAACAGGCAGCCTGAGGAATCAGGCGGCATTATTAAGAAAACACAAATCCTGCCTGTCCTTGATTAACTTATTCAGAGTTCAGCGAGGAAGGAAAACATATTAGATTAACGCTAATAAAAATGAGACGCTTCTCTGACCTGATGCTAAACACATTTGGTTTTTCTCTGGAGCTGGCAAGAGCTCTGCTTGATGCAGTGACGTGGTGACGCGGGACTTAAACTGCAAAGGAGTCAGAGGCCCTCCCGGGCTAGGGGAGGAGGAAGGCACTGCTCCCGGGCGGGATGGAGCTGCGCTGGCATTCTGGGTGGCATCAGCATCTACACTGTGTCCACCACCTGCTGGGGCCTTTGCCTCACATAGCTGGTGAGAGCCCTCCTCTTGAGCAGCCAAATCAGGGTTCAAATCCAGGTCCTGCAACTTGGCTGTGCAACCCTGGGGAGTCACTTCACCTCTCTGAGCCTCAGTTCCTCTTGGGATAAAAAGTCCTATAACATTCGATGCCTACTGATTACATAAGATAAATTCTGGGAGTGCCAGCTACTGCTCTAAGCACGTTGCAATGATTACAACACATCATCCAGCTAGCAGAGGGGATAAACAATATTGGGAACCAAGCAGTCGGAGTGTGCACTGAATCTTAACCACTACCTCACCTTACTTCTCAGCACACGGTGCTCAGCACAGTACCTGGGACACAGTAAAAGCACTTAATACCATTAATGTCCCTTTCTATAAATGTGCCACCACACTAATAAAAAAAAAAAGCACTTAATACATGGTCACCATTATTACTAATACCATAATTTTACCAGCAAAAACAGGTGCAAAAAAGGGGAAGTGATTTGCGGAATGTGACAATCCACTGGGGGCAGAGCCAGGAGCTGACCAAGTTTGGTTTCACAGCCCATGCTGTTTCTGTCTCTTCCAGATTACAGGCAGGGTGGCCTGGGCATGCCAGAGGGCAGGAGCAGGCGTTTTGGGAGGCCACAGGGGTACCTACTTCCCACCTCCTCAGATCAAGCTGCAGTGTCTGCCCGTAGTTTCCACCAGCATCACATCAGGGAGAAAGTGCCCAGCCCCCCTCCATAGACAAAGAAACAGAGACTCAGAGAGGTGTAGTGACTTATCCAGCATCAGACAGCTGCTAAGGCAGAGCAGACTCCGGCCAATTCTGAGGCCAAAACCCTAATTCTCTCTCTCTTTAAAGGAAAAGAGCTGGGGTGTAGACCAGAGGTGTGGGAGGTGGGTGAGAAGACTCACCAGAGACAGAGTGGGGAGCAGAACAGGCAGATGTACTGAAATACACTGCTGAGGGGAGCAGTAGGTGAGACAGGAGAGGTCTGCTGTGCCGTGTGGGTCAGCTCCCTGTTACAGAGGCTGCTGAGAGCTGCATAGTGCTGATATTTAACACTTTGCTCCACCAGAGAGGCCCTCAAACCCTAATTCTTAACCACAGAGCTAAGAATTAAAGTGTAGAATTTCCAACTGTGGCCATTCATACATGCATTCAGCCACATGAAGTGTGCACCTGTGTGCCCAGTCCTGTGCACTTTCCGATTGCTTCGGTTCAAATATTGTTTATCCCCTCTCCTAGCTGAATGATGTGCTGATTCCGAGAGTCCACCTGGAAGGACATTCCGGGAGGTAGAGACGCAGGATGGTTTCAAGCTCCGTTTCCCTTCTGGGCATAGTCACAACACGTTGGGGGAGAGCAGAAGAGGCAGGCAGATAAACATAAATGCATATCTTCAAAAATGAATTTCTTTCTGATTTGCAAAGTGACGCATACTCTCGGTGGAAAGTGAGAACAGCCAGGGCACCCTGTGGATGCTCACAGCTGCCCCGGACAGCGCTGCGGGGCGGCACCTCCTGTCCCCCTCCAGTGTGTCTCCATGTCCGTGCGAGACAGCCATTGTGCCCTGCTGTTTCCCCACCATCACGCTTTCTCGTTGCATCAGAAATTCTTTGATGTTGACCCTGAAGAATTTCTAATTTGAAAAAGTCATGGACAGCACTTGGAAAGTTGTTGTGTTTGGTGGGTGAGTCACAGGACTCTGGGCCCCAAGAAGGGCTTCTGTTCGGTTATGGAGTGTATCATGGTTGCCTTCCTGGAGGAGGAGAGAGTTGGGGTGAGTATATAGGATTTAAAGATCTTGACCATGGTGAGAGAGGCATCCCTTCCACACAAGGGACACCCAGATAGGAGCAGGAAATTCCATTCCCTGCACGACAAAACCAGATTCCGAGAGTCCACCTGGAAGGACATTCTGAGGTGCTGGAGAGGCAGATTCTTGGTCCTTCTCTACGTCAGGCCCTATGCTGGCCTCAGCGCAGATGAACCTCGCTTACAGTCATCCTCAACAGCACCCTGGCTGAGGCTTCAACAGAAATGTGAGGCACAACAGAAATGTGCTCTTATGCAGGGCTGGAGCCCAGAAATACACACTCCAGATGTTGGCAGGGACATGGCTTTCAAGGGCTCCAAGGAGGCTGCAATCCATGCCCTTCTCCAGACTTCAAGGTCGCCAGTAGCCCTCAGCATTCCTGGGCTTGTGGAGCTCTGTCTCCATTTGCACCCTGTGGTCCACGTGGGTCTCCAAGTCTTCCTAAAGCCATCTTACAAGGACATTGGTGATTCTGGGTCAGGGCCACTCGACTCCACTGTGACCCCATAACCTAAATGACACCTGCAATAACCCTGTTTCCAAATCAGGTCACCTGCTGAAGCCTTGCACTTAGAACTCATCATAGCTTTTATGGGGCGGGGTGCATATTTCAGTCCATCGCACTGCTGCGTTTGATTCCCACCCTCAGGTGGGAGCAAGACATGTCTATCCAGCACTTGAGCCATGCTGCAAAGCTACTGCAGTGTCAGGATTCAAAGCCAGGTCTGGCTGGCTCCAGAATTGCTCGCTCTGTAGTGCACTGTAATGCCTCCTGCCTGGGAGCGCACTCAGAGACAGTAAAGGCGAGGAACACAAAGTAATACATGTTTGGCTATGCTTTTAACAAATTACCCTTATTGAAGAGTGCGAAAATTTTGGAAGAGGAAGATTAATGGCAACAAAAGGAAAAGGGAAAGAAAAAAACACCACCCAGAGGTCTCTTTTCCAGATGCCTGCACCCTCCTGGCCTCACCCCTGGCTGTTTTATGTGTGTGAGATAAATCACCAGGCTGGGGTGACTTTGCCAGTTCAGCATATTTGGATGACTGCGGAGATGAGCTGATAGACTGTGTGAACGCAGCTATGACTCCACCTTCCAGGGGCCTGTGATTCTGTTCCTGTTTTACATACCTGGCCTCCCCCTGATTCTGTCACCGCTGCAGGTGCGTCCTTAGACTTGAAGCTGGGCCTTTGTGAATGGTTGTCCAGCGGGCTGGCTGTAACCATGCCAGGGAGCTCACTGCTCACCGGGGATGGAACTCTAAGGGCAAGGGCTTGGTTGTGTAGGTCGCAGTCTGCTGTGCAAGATGGGGGGGGGGGGCGGTGGTTACTAGGGAGCCACCAGCCCTTGTCCAGCACAGGGAAGAGACTGACTTAATATCCACATCCTGACCCACATTAAGAAAAGGCTGAGCATTAAGGAAAGGCTGTGTGTCATTTTCTACCCCCTGTGGGCAGATAAAAGCGCAGAGGGTCACCTTTCATGCAGCAAGTCTTGGAGCACCTGTTGTGTGGGGCTGTCTCAGCCAGACGTCTGGCCTGGCGCTCAGGTGAGGGAAGGCGGGCATAGCACTGAAAAGCCCGGGCTTTTGGGCTGCTGAGGCCAAGTCCCAGCTCGACTCCCCAAGGACCCTCCATGTCCCATCCTCCCTGAGACGTCTCCTCCTGAGCTGAGTCTGACTGTGGTATGTGGGGACGGGCAGCTCTGGGGACTTCAGGTCTGGGGGAGTATTGGGCTTGACCCTCACAGTAGGGTGGAGTCAAGTGACTTAGTTTGAGTTCTAGAATATTCATCTGTGCTCCATGGGTAACACGTGAGAGCTGAAGCTAACTAAGAAAATGCACCATGTACCAAACTCCAGAAGGGGCTGGGGTTGTAAACGAGTGATTCGTGTCCTTCTCTCACTCTCCTCTGCTTGCCTCTTCCTTAGTTTGGTTCTCCCATACACATTTGCTTTGGTGCCAGGGATTATGGCCGTTGGTAGCTCTGTGCTCCCAGAATGTCAGGGTCAGAACCCAAGGAAGACAGAGTTCATTTTCTCAGCTTTCATCTGTCAGAATCCAAAGAATGGGTCATGGCCTCCCCAATGTGTCATCGATTGCTTGCCAGCGAGAAGAACAGTATGATTGACCTTGGCAAGGTCAGCGTCTCCCAAGGACAGGCTGGGTGAGATGTGTAAGTAGGAAAATAAGAAGAGCGTGTGCTTTAAAGGTGCAAACCATGCCACTGGAGTGACCCCTTCACTCCTCGGTGCACACACACTCTCGCTCCACTAATTCGATGGTCCGGATCTTGTCTAACACATGCGCCTCCCTCAGCCGAAGGGGAGACTCCCCGGGCCCATCTGCCAGCCCAGCAAAGCCATCAGATCTCTCGGCAGCTCTTCAGGACCCTGAATCCTCATGGCCAGAAGGAAGCAAAACCTCCCCCCCGGGGAGATGGTTGGGGACAGACCCAGGCTTGCCTTTCAAGTGGCAGGCATCTATGCGGTGACATAGCTTCCGCTTGCACTTAGAAAGAAGCGACAAAGCAAGGCCGTGAGAGGTAATGGGTCGAGGCAGACACATATGCCCATTCCAGGAGCTGCTGCTAAGGCAGATGGTAATACCGCGGGGTCGGCTTCCTTGTCTATAAAATGGGTCAGTTGTGACAGTGATACACGACCACAGTGGGCGCACCTCACGCCGGAGAGGGCCAGAGCTGTTGTCGCTCCCCCCCCCTTCTCCATGTTGATATGATGACAGGACCTCATGTTACCTGCCCCCTCCCGTCTCCTTCCCGCCCAGTGTCATCCCTCCTCCCTCCCTCCCCCTCTTTGTCTTCCTGCCACCCTAGGGGCCTCCTGGACACTGTCCCCTGGAGACTGAGGAGCCAGACCAGCGCACGGCCTTGGGTGCTCTGTCCCAGCTCAGGTGTGGCAGCCTCTCGCTCCAGGCCACAGGGTCGTGGCTCCATCTGCGACAGTTGTTGAACAAACACAGTGACAAGGCCGGGCTGTCACTCGCTGATGTGCTGCTCCAGGGAGGCGATGTTTCTTTTAAAGGTGGACTGTTCTTCGTCGGCCAGATCGCCTCTGTCTGATGAGAGAAATGCAAGGTGGCCAGGGTTGAGGCGCATCTCCAGTGGGCTGAGCGTCCCACTCTCAGCAGGGCAGCGGAGAGGCTGGGCTGCTCTGGAGAGCTGCGTCTTCTGTGGCGCTGTCCTCCTCCGGGCGGGAGGGAGAAAAACCGTAGTGAGGCAGACAGCAGCCTGGGGGGTGGGCAGAGTGGGCAGCCTTTCCTCAGTCATTCTCTGGGGGCTTCTAGCTCCCAGGGCTGCCTCCACCCCCTCCCATCCCCACTCCCTCCCAGGTGGAGAGGAAGGGCTCTAGGTCGGGGTCCCACGGACCTGAATATGAATCTTCATTCTCGCACCAGTTGGCTGCCTCTTCACCTTTCTCCATCTCTAACCACCCAAGAAAGAGTGGGAGAAACCAGTGTTTCCCACGTCACACAGGGCTCCGCAAACATCCCTGGCTGGAGAAGGAGCAAGCGTTTCAGAGCCCGGGCTCGAGCCTCTTTGCCTGGGGCCCTCCTGGCTTCACACATACGAGCTGTGTGTCCTTGGGCAAGTGGCTTAACCTCTCTGGGCCTCAGTTTCCTCTTCTGTCTAGGATGTGAATACGAGTGGTTCCTTCATAGGGTCATGGTAAGGATTCGGTGAGATCATATGGGTAAAGCACTTGTCAGCGATCATATCCAAATAATAACAATAATTGTAAGAACAGACTAAATAAACTGAAAATACTTTCTAAACTGGACATATGCACTCAATTCGTGGGAGAGTTACTTTTTAACCATGAAGCACAAACACATTTGCTACTTTAAGAAAACTAAGTGTGTGCTTTGTAATGGGATGGCTGTTTTCCTTGATCTGGATTTTTCCTTTGCCTGGCTGGAACCACTCACTTGGCTCACGGCAAGTGCAAACTGTAAAGTGCTTGCTCGGCACTGTAAAGGGCCTGTTCCTTATATCAGGCACCTGAACTTTGTGGAGTAATATATGCGAGACTCTCTGGTAGTAAATATCTTAAGAAAGCTTGCAGCTGAGAACGCTGTGTCCTCTGGTAGAGCACTCCAAGCTGCCTGGATCAGGGAGTGACACTCCTCGGGTCCCTGGGTGCTGGCTGTTCCCTGGAGAGCCCAGGGGCTTGACCAGAACCATGGTCGCTGAAGGGTGCCCTCCTCTGCTGGCCTCCAGGTCCACAGCAATACCCATTGGACCCCACTGCCCTCACGGGTCAGGTTCTGCCAGTGCCCAAGGCTGGCCGGCCCTGGAGGGACCTCAGCTGCGCTGCTAGGCTGGAAATGGGCAAGCGGGTGGCCAAGGGACTCTTGCCTCTGTCCCTGCCCAGGAAACTGTCCCCTTATACTCAGCTGAGCAGGGCAGGCATCTACCAGTGAAGTCCCGAGCCAGGCCGCCCTCCAAAGGTTTCTCCTCTCTCTGTGCTTCTGACTAGCAGGGGGAGTTGGTACCAAAAGGTCAACAAGGCCCTTAACAGATGTTACTCCTTATAACCCTTCCAGCTTTGCACCCAGCCAACTCTGACTTTTCTCCTCTCCCTGAAGCCAAGTACATCGGCTGCTACCTGGATGACACCCAGAGCCGGGCCCTGCGAGGCGTGTCCTTTTTCGACTACAAAAAGATGACCATCTTCCGTTGCCAGGACAACTGTGCCGAACGGTAGGGCCCGGCGTCCCAAGCTGCCTTCGTGACTCCCTTCCTCCTCAGGTTCCTGCCTGGGCTGTCCTCTCCTGCTCCACAGAGGGTGTGGCGGAAACCTGGGCGCAGGAAAGGGCAGTGCAAGGAAACACGTGTGCGCGTGTGTGTATGTGCGTGTAAACGACTGGGTTTGTTTGGAAATGGGCCGGGAGCCTGATTGTGCTGCTGGACGAGACTGCGTCTAGGTGTTTGCAGCGTGCAGGTGAACTTGATACCACACATAATTGTCTTAAAGTGGTAGGGGCCGTGTGGGCAGGGGTCTCTCTGCAGGGGTCTGGAATTGTGCTTGTGTGTGTGTGACATGCACAGTTGGGTGTGAGCCTGAGAGCATATGTTTCCCAGCAGAGAATCCCCTGTGCCTCTCCCAGGGGGAAGCCCCCGTGAGGATGGTGTCTGCCAGGCTAAGGAAAAAAGTCCACGTTCTAGGTTAGAACTGGCTTTCTAAGAGTGGGTGAGACCCCAAAAGACTGGCAAGCAGGGACAAGACGCACAACAGCCCAGGCCTGGGAACCAGCACTGCTCTCTGAGGGCACTGTGGGGTGAGCAACCTTCTCCCCCTGCCTCTGGGCCCCATGACCATGTGAAGAGGCACTAAGATTCTCCCCTTCAGACTCGCTGGCCGGCCCTGGAGCCCCGAAGCACCGAAGGACCTCAGCTGTGTTGCTAGGCTGGAAATGGGCAAACAGATGACCAGGGGACTCTTTACCTCTGTCCCCAACTGGGAAATTGTCCCCTTTATGCTCAGCTGCCCCAGGAGTCCACCTGGGAAGTCCGGAGCCAGGACGCTCTCCAACTTGAGAGGTTCCCTGCGTGTCCTGCTGTTGACTTGTTCATTTATTTGCTGGCCTGTGGGGAGACAGGTGGATTCCAGAGTCCCTGCCTCGTGGAGCTCAGAGCTCAAGCAAGTAGCTAGGAGATGGCAGTCTTGAGAGATGAGGAGGTAGGAGAACTCGGAGACTGTGGACATGCCAAAGTCCCCCAGTCTACCTGGGGATGTCAGGACAGATTTTTCAGTGGAGGTGGCATTCAGCGTGAGCTTCAGAGGATGAGCCAGATAAAGTCAGGTAGCTCAGCTCAGCTCCTGGGCCTGCCCTCAGGGGTCCTCAAGCAGTTGGGAGAAAAAGGCTTGGGCCACAGCCTGGCAGTAGCTTATACTCACAGGCAGTTGTTTCCTGCCAGGCGCTGTTCTCAGCATGGCAAATATCAGCTCTTGACCCCTACGAGATCCCTGGCTTGTTAGGGTCCACATTCCACACAGGAGGAAACGGGGGTGTGGAGATACCAAACTCGGAGGCTTCCAGGCTGAGGGTGCTGCATGCTGAGGTATATGGGAAGGGGTTTCTGAAGGTTGAGGGATGGAAGACGCCGCACAGAGGGCCCAGGATGATAATAAAGGTGAAATCTTGAGTCAGGTTTCGAAGGACGAGTAGGAGTTTTCCGGATAGTTAGAATAAGGCAGGAAGAAAATAGCACACTCAGAGAGAGGTCCTGATACATCCTAATACCCAGCCTCCCCAGGAGGCAGTATGGGGGTGCATGGAGGGCCCAAGGGGAGCTGTTAGAAGGGGCAAGCTACAGAGCTGGCTGAAATCCACTGCACAGGGTCTTGAATATCAATGAAAGCATCTGGCATGGTCTTGGAGGCAGTGGGTGGGTGGTAGAGAGTTCATCAGGCCAGGGGCTCCATTCATTAACAGCTATTTATGAGACACCCATCAATGCCAGGCACCATCTCAAAACACAGGACCCCCACAGCGTCACAGCCCTCCTGGAGATTATATCCGAGAGTGGGAGACAGGCAGTCTGTAAGAGAAACAAGCCAGATCTTTCAAAAGCCTAAGTGCTTGAAGAAAAAAGAACAGGGAAGCGGGAGAGAGCCTGGTAGGAGGGCGACGTAGGTGGGCGCGTCTCTGGGAAGTTCTCTTGGAGCTCAGAGCTGCAAGGCAAGAAGGAACCAGCCACGTGAAAAGAAGAGTTAGTGTTCCGGGCAGGGAAACAGCAGGACAAAGATTGAAGCAGGAGCAAGCTTGCCTGTTTCAGCATCAGAAAGCTCACGACTGTAGCAGTTTCTCAAGGGAGGAACGGGGGAGGCGAGAGTGAAGTGGGGTGGTTGGATGTGGCCAGGAGCCAGGGTAGGGGTCCTCCCCCTGGAGGGCACATCAGCATGGCCTGGCAATCATTTGCAATGTGCTTGCTGGGGTGCACTGCCATGCTTTGATTCAGCACATTTGGGGGATCCCAAGAATTTGCATCTTGTGTAGTTGTTTGGGACCTAGGTTAGTTCTGAATTTTACACCCAGAGGCACGTTAGAATCACCCAGAAACTGCTTAAATGCTTGCCACCCAGGCCAATTAAGTCAGACCCGCAGGGCATGGGATCCAGACTTGGCATATAAAGAACGTCCCATAGGTAATTCTAGCAGGAATCCAGTTTAAAGAACTGCTGCTATGCGGGTTTGTAGGTCAAGCCATCTGCGAGCTGTGGAAGCCACCCAGGGGGCAGAGGAGAGGTGTGATCTATTTTAATTTCTGAACAGTCCTACTGGCAAGAGCTAGCAGGACCCCAGGCCACAGGCTGGGCTCCTCCATTCCCCTGAGGCATGTTATGCATGCTGGGTAACCACTGTCCCATCATTAAGCATCTTAAAACAACACATCCATGATCTCACAGTTTCTGAGGGTCAGAAGTTAGGGATTTGGGGGTGGCATGAGCCAGGTGATCCTGCCTCGGTGTCTCTCCCCAAGCTGCATTCAGGGTATCAGCTGGGACTGCAGCATTCCGAGGGCTTGACTGGAGCTGGAGAACCCTCTTCCTGGGCTGGCACCCACACGACTGTTGGCAGGGGGCTCAGGCCCTCTCCACCTGGGCCTCTCCACGAAGCTGCCTGAGTGCCCTCACAAAAGGGCCTCTGGTTTCTCCTGGAGAGAGGGGTCCGAGGAGGATGCTAAAACAAAACCTCGGCACATACTGGCTCTCCCACTGCCCTCTATTCAGTAGAAGTGACCCCATATTCATGGAGAAGCAAATTAAGGTTGACCTCTTATTTATTTATGCATCCAGAACTGGGGTACAGGCCAGAGGTGCAGGGGCAATGAGAGGATTTACCAGAGACAGAGTGGGGAGTAGAACAGGCAGACTGATGAAGGACACTGCCGAGGGGAGCAGCGGGCACGTCAGGAGAGGTCTGCCACGCCATGTGGATCACCTCCGGGGCAGGGATTAAATTGATGCTTAAGTGGCTGTAGCTTCTTAGTGCTGTGCTTTAACCTGCTGCACCACCAGAGAGGGCCCTGAACACATTTTTTTAGTTATAGTTTTCCATTTGTTTGTTTGTTTTAGTATGAAAGAACTAGAGTACAGGCCAGAGGTGGGGGGTGGGGGCATGAGAGGACTCACCAGAGACAGAGCGGGGACCACAACAGGTAGACCCACTGAAGTACTCTGCTGATGGGGAGCAGCGGGGGAGACGGGAGAGGTCTGCTGCGCCCTGTGGGTCAGCTCCCTGGCCGGGCTCAAACTCAGACCATATAGGTGAAAGCCTGAACTTTACCCCCAGGAATCAGGAAGGCCCTTGTGAACATGTTCCGACATCACCTCACTTCCCCACCGTGGGGCTCCCCTGTGGAACTCCCTGTGGTTGGGTCTCCCCACGCCCCCGTCTCTTCCTCCTCACCCTTCTTCCTCATTGCCCCTGAGTAACGGTCCTCCTCTTCCTTTGGGGTTGATAACATCCTCTGGGCCTTCTCTTGGGAAGCCCTCCTTCCCTCGCGGGACCCAGTTATAGCAGAGGGGCCCCAAGGGCGCCCTGAGAATCAGTTTGAGAGAGATGGAAACTGACACAGAAGGCGGAGGGGGAGGATGACACAGGCCAGCACTTCTGGGGGATCCGGTCCCCAAGATGCCCGTTTACTTCCAGCTGCTCTGGCCGCACTTGGTCACATGCCAGCAGGGGCGAGCAGGGTGCTGGAGCTGTGAGTCCCAGGGCGGGGTGGGGGGGCTGTCTCTCCAGGGGCCCCGGGGTGTCCAGGACAAAGACACCAGCTGTGAGGTCCCGTGTTTGGCCTGGGGGGGTCGGTGTTCTAGAACCAGGTCTCGGAGTTCCGGAGATGCCACCAGGGTCCGCGGGCTACAGGACTGAGCAGGCGTGTCCTGTGCCCCGTCTCCGCCCCTTCCCCCCACCGCTGATGCCAGAGCCAGCAACACCCTGTTCACAGGTTTCCAGAATGGCACCCACCACGAGTCCCTTTTAGGAAAGGATTCCATGGCCATGGGGAAGAAGTCGAGGATTCCATGGCCATGGGGAAGAAGTCGAAAACCGTATGCTACCTGGATGTTTCATTTTAGGGGAAAGCTGATTTAACCCGCTGGCATGTGACCTCAGTTTTGCCACCTTCCAAGTCTGCTTCCAGCTCCCGAGGACCTGGTGACGCCATTCCTGGGAGATGTTTCCAGAATGAAGGGCGGGCCTCTGGAGATTCCCTGTCTCCAGCTGCAAACAGAGCAGGGAAAGAGGGTGGGGGCGCAGGAGCTGAGGGTGTGTGCGCGTGCGACCAGCGTGCCAAGTGGGTGTGTGCCAGCTTGGTGTGAACATGCACGTGGTGCGTCTCTGTGGGCAGCTACACGGGCGGCGACAGGCGGGGGTGCAGGAGGTGGGCGGCGGGCCGGAGCCCCGGTCTCCCGGTCCCTGGGACACCGCCGTGGCTGGCGGCGGTCCTGGCTTGACGGCAGCTTCCCCCAGGGGTTACCTGTACGCGGGGCTGGAGTTCGGCGCGGAGTGCTACTGCGGCCACAAGATCCAGGCGGCCAACGTGAGCGAGGCGGAGTGTGACATGGAGTGCAAGGGCGAGCGCGGCGGCCTGTGCGGAGGCGCCAACCGCCTCTCGGTCTACCGGCTGCAGCTGGCCCAGGAGGCGGCCCGCAGGTGTACGTGAGTCTGCCAGCCGGCCCCTCGGGCTCCTCCTCCACGCCCGCCACCCCTGCTGCCCTCTCCTTC